ATCCAACCAATTTTTACTCTGCTCAATTTGGGGCTCAATGGGATACTGCTGTATAATTCTTAGCAGCTTCTCTAACAATAAAATTATTCAGATAGAACAAAATCCAGAAGCTAACAGCTGACAGGAAAGAAAAATGAGCGATTAACTGGGCATATTTATTTATGTTAAAGTTGGTTTGGGTGTCAACGAAGCAAGAGCGGCTCGGCCACACTTTGGGAATTATTTTGGGAACCTAATACTTGAACATTAACTCAATCGCTCCCAATTTCTGGGGAGATGTGGTATATATTTTAATATAAGCAAATTAGGAAAAAACTCCAAAACCTACTTTTGGTTCTCAGAAATGTACCTAATCATGGTAAGCTGTCGGCATTTCTAATGTATAAGCCTCTATTCTAAGCTACACAGGAATTTGTCAACGTCGAGTCTCTTATCAAATCCAGCCCGAAGTTCTCTCTGTTGATCCTATTAAGGAACAACCTGGCAGTACTGATAAAAAGCAATTAAAGAAGCCTCGGATGCTGGCAGGTGGATCTAAGAAAAAGGGAACGTTATCATACCTGATTTCTCCCCTAGGCAGACACTGAGACCCGCTCTCAAAAACCACAGAAACATGTCTCAAGTCAAAAGACCTGGGTATGAAAACTAACTCTCCAAAGTAAGTTACAAGACCACAGTTCAATTCACTCAACAGATATTTTCTGTACACCTATCACGTACCAGGCAACGTATTAAGATGTGACCCCGTCCTCCGACAATGTCGCCTAGTAGGAGAGGCAATTGAGTGACTACAAAAGGACGTGGTAAGGCAAGCGCGAGGTGCTTTCACTACAGACGAGAGTCAAGCAGGCCCCCCTGGAGGAGTCAAGGAGGCCCCCCCCTGGAGGAGTCACCATGTAGGCTAACCTCCCAGACGTCAGCAGTGAAAAGGCCGGCCAAAACAGAGAGACGAATTCCAGGAAAGGGCAGAGTCCGTGCCAAGGCCTAGGTGGCTAAGACCGGATAGAAAGACGGAGAGAATAAAGCAAAGTTCACTGCAATTAGAGAGTGATTCGGGAATCGCCTGCATACGGATGGTATTCCTGGCAAAGGACTGAAGCAAAGGGGATCCCATGCTTCCGCTTGGTGTCTCTAGAGCTGACATTTAAACTAACCCCCGCTCTATCTGTTGACTGAAGCCCATGGGGCACCCCTTGAATCACCCATCGTGGGCTCGGCCACCTCTGCGGTTCTCTGGTAGAGAGCTGTTGCTCAGGGGCCAGCCCGCCCATCTGTACCCGCTCCGCACCCCAGGTGTGCACTGTTGCTGCCGGCTGTTCTCACACTTCATCCAGTTGGCACTTTTCTGCGGAGCAGCAGAGAAAGCAAGAGCCAATACCCAGGGATCAGGGTGTCAAAGAGACAGGAGAGCTCTTCTGCAGCTGTCCTTTCACTGAGCAACTCGTACCCCGGCTTTGCAATCCACCCGCAAACCCGCATTCGGCAAAACAATGAAGAAGGCTTTTCACATGTGCTCTGCCCTGCGGCTTCAGACCAAAGCCCTCAGCCCGAAGTGGCCTGATGCAGTGTGAGGCGGCGGCTATACCAACCCAGCTTATCTGTGCGACTCCATGCCCCTCTCCATCGGGCTGTAGCTTACCATCCCCCACTGATGCAATCAACCGCCTTCATCTTTGCTCCATATTCATGTTTTACTTTTTGGTTCCTGGAATCTCCAAGATTTGACGCCTGTCTGGGGAGAGCTGCCTACACACTTTCCACTTAGCCATAGTAGCCTACCACCTCCGCGTTTCTATTCTCTGTATTCTAATACCATTTACGAAACAAACCCTAAGACCAGACAGAGAGCAAAACTCCCAAATGGTAGCACAAGGCAGCAATGGGCATAATTGCTAGCACTGACATTACACAGGTTTTTCATGATCCTACAAAAAATTTCAAGTCTCCACATACAACCTTCATATTCACGTGCGACATAAAGAATCTATTCTGTTTCTGCCAATGAGGAAAATGTCATGACATAGTGAGACTGGCGTGGAAGTTACTACCTGTGCGACTCTGAGCAAGTTACTTGACAACTACGAACTTGATTGCCTCACCGACAAAACAGCAACACTACATGGCTTGCATGGTTCTGAGAAGCCTAAGAAACAACACATACAAAATATGTCAACAAGGCCTGGTATAAAGCAGGTGCTCCAAAAATGAAAAGGATTATGGGGTTTACTAAAAGGCGTACACCAGTCAAACTTCTTTTACACAATTTGCATTGCCTTTCCTTGAAAATACTAATCTATAGCTTCTGGAGGCCAGAGACCACGTGTACTTGCGAATCTGTCTTTTCCAGAGCACAGGAGTCTCACAAAGCAGGTGTGGGCAAAAGGGAAATGCAATCGACGTTAGGAGCTGGTAAGTCAGTTGTGCTAGTTTCCATCCCAGCTCCCTCACTCAACAGAGGGGCAGTCTGGGCACGATACTTCATATCTGTTTCCTCGCCTATAAGAGTATCGATAAACACCGCATACCCTCCTCATGGTTTGTTGTGAGGCACAAATAAAATAAGGTCATTTAAAGCATTCTTTTCTCCATTATGATATGAAAGCGAATAGGGCCCAGAGCTTTCTCTCAAGAAATTAAAAACTAGTGACCGACAAAGGTGTATACACAAAGGAATCACGGAAAGCGTCTGAATGCAAGCACCATTATAGAATCACACACCAAGGATGCTGGGAACTCCATGGAGAGAACAATAAATCTCTTCTCTTGATGCTTCTGGAGCTCGGTTTCCTCAGATGTAAAACAAGGGAGCATCATTAGGTAGATGATCACCTTCCTAAGGTTAAATTCTATGAATGTCTAAGAATCTAATAATGAAAATAAAATAAAACCTTGTAAATTCCTCCAGGTGTAGAACTGGGGAAATTCTACATCTCTTCTCATTTATGCCTCCACTAAATATTCAGAACAGATTTCTTTGTTAAAAATACAAGTTCGGACCAAAAAAATTATAATCAATAGATTCCCACAAAGTTTAAACAACTTTAATCTCTTCTCTTTTACATGTAGCCCCTCTGCGAGTAACTTTTTATTTCATATTCTTTATATACCAAATTTGTTCACTTTTCTAAGAAAAAATTAAGAACAAATATCTACTATCTCAGTCTTTAGTATAGAAAAGTGCTAAACATACATGAACTGAACCTCATGTAGGTCTAACAATCTCATAAGACAGGTGTCTTTTCGTAGCAACTGTTTTAAAGACACGTAAGGAGGTAAGTGGACTAAAGCCACCCGGGGTAGGTAGCAAAGTGGGGACATGACTCCCAAGCATAAGCCTCCCAAGAACCATGCTTTTTGGTGGGAGGGAAGGATAACTCTTAAAATTACAAGGATCTTGATGAGGACCAGTGTCTACACGGCACCCATGAAATGTAACTAAGACTTGGCATTAGAGCCTTTTACAAACGAAAATGCTTTCGGTGATGGACCCAATGCCGTCATTCTATGTTTCACCCAGAATGACTTTTTTTAGGCATACATTCTTCCATTGGAGCTGTATTTCTAAGCCTTTTTTCCCTTTCTAATGGTAACAGAGAAAGTTTTAGAATTAGGAGCAAGAATATCATTTCCTGTTCAATCTCTTGATATAACTTTTTAAAATTCTGTCATACTAATGTGGTGAATTGGGGTCTTCTATTAATTTCTTAATGATAGGTTTCTAAGTGTTTCTTAAGTTTATGGATCAAGTATTTGTTAAGTGTACAGAAAGATTTTCAATACTTCAGTTTATTGTGTAAAATATAATACCGATGAGGAGAGATAACTCATAAAGGCTTCCAGGAAAAAAAAGGAAAATTAGGTGAACAAACATGGGAATTGATATCAAAGAACCTGGGTTACTCGTTCTTCCCTCCTGAGCTCCAGGTTTCCCATTATTAAAATTGAAGCAATTTCTTCTTTACAGAGTCCTCATAAAGATCACATGAGGCTAAACAGATGAGCATGTTGTAAGTTCTAGCTCTCTATGCAAATTATTTTCTTGTCATTATCACTACGACTTTCTATCCCTTCCTCCAGGATCTTTACTGCTCGTGATTACTTCCAACATTCGATTTAAATTTTAATAAGAATTCTTCCCCTGAGCTTATCACAATTTCTGTCAAAATATTCCAAAGCATCCCCTACTCACCCCAACAATTCATTTCACACACGTATTCATTTACTCCCACAAGTGTATGACACTGGCTTCTAAAGCACCTTCACATGAATTTTATTTGAGCCTCAGACCAACCCAGCGATGTGCACAGGAAACTGCCATTCCTGGTCCGCAGGGGCCAACCCGCGCTTCACGCATCCTTGGCTGTAGTCTTGCAAGGAGGAAGCAGTCAAGCCTCCTGGCCTTTTGCCTAACAGCCTCACACCCAAAATCACATTTCTTGTGATGTACAGTACATTCAAACCTCCCTCCCTCTCTCACCCACCCAAGTTCAACGGCATAATCCATGGGTATAAAAGCTATTAGCCTCGAAGAAGCTTTTGAAGGACTTTACAGGTAGCTTCAAAATCTTCCAGATTCAATATTCAAAGTGATATCGCAAAACATCACAGCTTACAAATACTATTAACATGGAAAGACATCAAAACTTTAAAAACAAAAGTGTGTAGAGTTAAATGATTCTATTACTTCTCTAAAACTTGGCAATGCAGTAATTGGAAAGGGGGGTGAATAAAATATGATTTCTTTAAAGAATGTGGCCAAGTCCTCGTAAAAACAAAATATTCATAAATATTCATGACAGCAGAATGCTCCATGACTTAATCCACTGCTTACTAGTTAGGGGTAATAAACTCATTCTGTCTCCATTTCTTGGTAATATTATTTGGAAAGTTTTAAACAGGTGGTGTGTTTCCCCTCTGGGGTTGTTATTTGCTTGAGATAATTTTGTACTCAGTATTTTCAATTAAGTAGCTTTAAAAAACCACATTTTGAAACAGTCTACCACAATGTTCTGAATTTCAACCCCTGCTGGGTTTGCTTTTCTAGAATGCAAAACTAAAAGATACGTTTCCATTTATAACTGACTTTATCTTCTGAAACTTTTCAAAGTAATGCTAGAAAAATCACAGTTCGAGATGCATTAACAAAATCATAAAAGTAATACATTAGTGGGGAAAAAGCAAGGTACAGAACAATGTATAGAGAACTTACTCACATGCGTATAGTTAGACAAATATGTATATCCATAAGCTATTTCTGGAAGAGAATGAAAAGGAAGCATGGACTTTTTATTGTATACCATTTTCACCATTAGAATTTTTTTGGCTACGTGGGTATTGTTTCTTAAACATAAAAACAAGTTAACTAGGACAAATACTAGGAAAATGGGAATGTGAAAAGACTGAAAATAGGAACAAGTTAAACTGACAATCGAGTGGAAAAAAAGTTCTCTCCAACTGACCATGCGCCAATCATCCTTATATATCACTAAAAAGGAAAACGGAGGCGAGGCGGGCTGCTCCGAAGGCCACCTAGGACAGCTGCCGGGGTCCAGGGGCCTGTGCTTCCAGGATCAGGGTCGTGTCTACCGTCGAGACACACAGGCCTCCTATCAGAAATAACCCCGCAAATTACATCTATACTTTTATTCAAACCTAGTAATCTACCTAAATTACCTGCAGCACAGGACTCGGGCGGGGGCGGGGGGGGGGCGAGAATGTGAAAAGACTCTGAAAATAGGAACAAGTTAAACTGACAATCGAGTGGAAGCAACACTTCACTGAGTGTTATTATGTGTGGGCAACAAATTGAAACCACTTTGATTTCAATTTCCACAATGATTCATCACGAGTTTGTCACATTTAATTCCAAACTCAGCAGTGCTGTTTTATGCATAGGAAGATGCTGAGAAGAGCCAAATAACGAGCCATCAGGTAGTCAATGGACAACTCACATGCATCTAAAACATCCAGCTATTGGGCCCATCTGCGATTCCTCCAGGAGTCAGGACTCAAAACTGAGAAACTGCAGCCTAGGGCCCTCCGCAGGCGCAGCAGTCAGAACGGTCCCGAACTTTTTCGCAGGCCAATAAAAAGCCACCGAGTGACTACAGTGGGTGAGGTCCTGGGGCTTCAGAGGGAAACAGGTCTGTGACTCTTAAGTAAGATCACAGGGAGGGGCGACAATAGCTGTCAGTGCCCTAAAAGAACTGCTCCAAAGGGTGTCTGAGCAGGAGCCGTGAGAGACAGAGAAGGCCCATGTCTGCGGGGGAGGCAGAAGAGGTGTCGCACAGGGGCCCCTCTGAGCCGAGGCTCACCTATTGACAGTGGGAATTTCAAGCAGAGGAACCACATCTGCGCAGGCCACAGAGGTATGAAAAGGGATGTTAAATTCAGAGAAATTTTAATTATGAACAACTAGAACACAAACTTCAGAAGACTAGTGTCAGGATCATGGCTGGCAGGGTAAGGACGTGTCAGCCAGCTCACTGAGGGCCTTCCCTGCCACATACAGACTCCACGGCAAAGCGCATGAAAACATTCTGCTGCGAATGACCCGTTGGATCTGCCTACCAGAGATCACTCAGGGCCAACACATGGTGACCTGGCATCTTCTGAAACGAGGCTAGAGCAGCAGCGAGCCCAAGCCCAGGCCAAAGCCTAGAACCAGGAGCTCGGTGGCGGGACGACACTTTCTACCAGAGCAACGCTGGGCAGGAGCCGGACCCTCCGAATGAGTGTGGAAGGCGCTTTAAGACAGCCAGGCCTTTGGAGAGTTAGTCTTAGTTTCCTACCGTCCACTGGCACCCCCCGTAAATAAGCCCTGAAACTGACTCTGCTGTCACATCCTATCCTGACAACTTCTTGGCCAGACAGAAGAGAAGCTACCTGGTCATGGTGAAGTCTGATCATTACCTCCATTTCTAACCTTTTCCCCCGCAGTCGGTTACCTCTTCCATGCCTTGAACTGCATGCACATGGCAACATTTCAACACTATTTCAAATGCCAGGGTACATGTGACAGGCGCAGCAGCACTTGAGTACGTCTGTTACTGCTAACCCCTCTGTCTGTGCTGCTCCATCCTTCTGTCTTTAAGTCAAAGGCGCCCTTCTCAACTGAGGTCTGTTCTGAGCCCACTTAAATTGTGCCATCATTCTGGAGTGTCCCCAAACTGCACTGGATGCTCTCCCGCGTGCTTTTGCACTGCCCTGTGCTTAACCCAGTTACAGCACTTACACTCTATTATCTGGTACAAAGTAATTTACTAGTAGGGAAAACATTAAAAATGTGTTCGACTAGAATCTTCCTCCAGGAGGACTACTTTCGTAACGTTTTTAGGAAAAAAAACTGAAGACTACAGGCTGAAATGCGGCTCTGCAGCAAGCTCCTGGGCGTTCACAAAGTTTTAACTTGTCTCCAAACCGGTTTCAGTTTTCTTCTTCTCCGCAGCTCCTCGACCCCCACCTGTGTAAGCGGGGAGTTCACTGAGGTCAGGCGGCCACATTCGCCTTCCTGTCCCAATGCTCAGAAGGATCCATGAGGTGCTCAGGGGAGGTGAGTGGTAGACCAGCTGACTGACTGGGCAGCCTTTCAATCCTCTGCATCACGGAAGGGAGGGCACAGTGCTAGGCACACAGCAGGGTCTCAATACAGATTATATACTTGGGAATGAAAGAAAGAGATCCCGTCTCAGCATCTGGATCCCATTTCTGTGATGGCTACTTAGAAATCTCAAATATATTTTGAGAACGCAATTGACTTACTAAAAAAAATTTTCAAAATCTATAACAAGGCACAATGCTTTTGGTCAAAAGAACTGTGTTTGGACATACTTGGGAGTTTGGGAGCAAATTATCTGGCACCTGTGTACATACAGAGCACTAATGGAAAGATAAGGGTATTTAGAGACAGACAGCAGCAAATACGCCGTGAGCACGCTTTGTCGACCATCCAGCTGAACGCAGTAAGAGACACTAAGTCCACTGCTCCAGAAATTAACTTGCCACACTGCCATGTGTGTAATCACCTCATTCTCGTAATTCATAACACACTAGGTCTGCTTCTTATTTCACATAAAAACATACCTGAGATATAAAAATAAAGCAAAGGAAAATTACTAGAGTATAGAACAAAATAACTGTACAGAGCAGCAATAGCCATTAAAAAAAAAAAACAAAACTCAAAATTCCCAAAATACTTTATATCAACTGGCTATAAAGAAAAAAACATTCCCATTTCTTGGCCGAATGTCATCATCATAAAACCATGCCTGGGAACAATATACACCAATGATGACGATGCCCTGGAAGATTTCACCTGGGTTGTGGATGGCTCCCCTACTCACCTTTCTCCTTTTAAATAAAAATTGATGAATGAGAGCCATAGATTTTGCCACAAATGGAATGTTTTCACATATTTACAGGTTCTTAAATATGCTTTGGATGGCTAAGACAGCTAGGACTTTGATACACATGTGAAATTATTTCTTTATCATCTGTTTTGGGTCAGGGGAGGAAAAATCCTGCCTCAGTGAACTATGAACCTTGGATTTGTACATTAATTTGAAAGTATTATCTACTGTTGAAGTAGTAATTCACTTAAAATGATCCAATACAAAAAGGAGATAATTCCCCAATGCTGACAATTAAAACTGGGGCACACAACGAAACGTGGACCGCTTTGATTTCCTGGGGGGGTCTGTAACACTTCTCCGTCCCCAAAACAAGGCACGTGTACTTCGTGGCCACATGCTTTCACTCAGAAATTACCGATAAGTTACATAAAGTTGTCTGAAGCGTGGTGGCAAATAAGCATAATATGTTTCAAGCATTTCGTGTATACAAGTCCTACTCTTGAAACTCTGCCTTAAAAATAAACAAAAATGCAGCCCTGCTCAAGGAATTACGTTAGCTGCTTCCCTAAATTCAACAGGGCCATCTTCCTTTTGCGCAGTGGATTAAAAAACCGATGCTTCATCTCGCCTCTCCTGCAACTTCGGCCTTTCCTATGAACTTTGTAAAACAAAATAAGTGACAAAAAAGTCAGGGGAAGCATCAGCATTCACAATAAATACAAGAAACTCCACCTCACGTCCACCACGAAGAAGCTGAGGGCTGCTGGCCACCTGGACGTGCTCTGGACACAAAGAGGGTCGGGACCCTCAAAGAGGAAAACACGCGTTTCGATTACTTCGGAAAAACTTTAACTCTGCTCATTGAAAATGGAAACCGTAAGGACTTACCCTGTACAGAGGATGGCACTTGTCCCTGAAACAGGGAGCCAACTGGGCGTAGATCTGGAGGCTGTAGTAATATGCTGCCAGCTGGAGAGATAAAGCAGAGTGGGCCTGCTTTTCAAAGCACCTGTTCGCATCTAACACCTAGGAGGGAACACAGTGGGATAAACTCAGCTGAAAGGAATCCGACAAATCCATCACGTACCACGACCTATATCTAGTCATTACTGCAGAATTTTGGATCAAAGTTTCCATCATATCTACTCAAGTTCAGCTTAATATGACTACATTAAAATTTAGAAGACTCTATAAAGCAGATCCTATGCAAGTAAAAGTAGATTTAAAATCAACATTTCAGCTAACATTATAGAATTTACTCTCTGGATACTGACCGCAGATACAGATAGACAGACAGACATAAAATAAACAATTATAATAAACAATAGATTATCAGTTAATTCATTTTCAAGTCCTTCTTTCTTGGTCTGGGTTAACTCACCTGTGGTAAGGCGAGGAGATAAGCGAGAGCCAAGGTCATGTCATTTGGTAAAGCTTCACTTGCTAGTTGCAAGAGAACTGAATACAGAAAAAGACATTGCTTTATTTTACTTGAGGATCCATATAACATTCATAGTTACTAAGTCCCAGGTTTTCACTCCTATATGATTTCAACAGGCAATTATGATCAGAGGACTCTAAGACCTGTTACGCAGCTCACACAAAACTACGTTAAACGGTAATCTTGCCTTAACTCAGACAGATCGTGCTGTTTGTAACTTAGACGTGAGGAAATCCTGTTATTCAGCCGCAAAGTCTGAATGCAAATAGATCAATGAGGATGGTTTCTTAAAGCAAATCTTTTGGTTTTAAAGATATAAAATTATGTATATCGCTGACAGCTAATGTGGAAGACGACCGTGTAAATAAACACTAAAGAGCAGAGGAACAAAACAGCTTTCTGAGTGCAAATATAGTATAAATATTTTGATTACTATAATGATGATAATATGGTTTTATTCCTTCCAAGAACACCCCTCTTCATCACAACCCACAAAATCAGTCTCTTGCTTTGATTATATAATATCTTTTTAAAAATCAACCATTAATAGCTTTCTCACAAAAAAAAATTTATATAAGTGACAACCTGTAAATGTTATAGGTCTAATAAAAGAGAGTATACTGCCAATAAAGTCTGGGCTTATAAGCAGTTTGTATAAACAAGAACACAGTCCATTCATTTAAGTCTTAGGGACAAATACCAGGTAGTCATATGGAATCGCAATGTGGATCCTTCATTTTTAAAGAACAGGCTCTCAGGATCTGCACTAACGAAGGAGAACAGTATGTGAATAATCCAAAGAAAATGATATCTGACTTTAGAAATAGACCATATAATATTTTTCCAGAAGATTTGCCTTCCTAATTGTGTCTTATTCGGGCTAGAATTTAAGTCATTTGTATAATCTGGGCTTAGCTGACAGTCTGGCCAGTGGGAACAGTGGTGGGTGAGGAGTATAATAAAATGTTAACTGTGTAATCTAAATCGAAGGTATATGAGAGTTCACTGTAGCATTTTCATAACTTTTTGTGCACTGGAAAATTTTCTAAATAAAATATTGGGGAAGAAAAGAGGAAAAAAAAAACCTCTCAGATAACTGTGTCAAATGCTTGAGCTCCCTGTCAGTTATTTATTTCCCAAATGGGGTTTCCAGAAACGTACTCTGGACAAGTTGTATCCACCTCGTCTCCGGCACTCAGACAGCTGAGTTTCTGGCCACACCAAGCCCACGACCTCCCTGCTCCTGCAAGACTGGAAGAATCACGAGTGTCAAGTGCACCACCACCCCTATGACCGCAGGTTGAAAAGAAAGGGACCCTATCTCTTCCCCAATCCCTAACACAAATGTTGGTGGAGTTACCCAAGAACCTCTGTTCTCTCACGACTGGATCACAGCTCACATATCTCTGCAACCCACGTACCCAGCCCAGGCCCCCTTCCTGACCAACAGCTGGACTGTTAAAGGAAACTGATGGGGAACAGAGTCTCGGCAGCCTTCACTGAGACTCAAGCATTCTTGCAAAGTAGACTCAAACCCACGTACAGGAAGCTTCTTGGTCTTTGAGTCTGCAAGCCATCTGAAGCAGCATTTGACAAAAGAATCCATGAAGATCAGTAGACTGATCCCATGGGGTCTCACTGGGGTCCCCCAGATGTCATGCTGGCTGCAGACTCGGTCACAGTGATTTTTTCATTACCATTAAAATATATATAAAAGAAAAGAAAAGGTCCTACATTTATCACTGTGTATGAGTTTAATTTGTTCTCAAACCTTGCATACAATGCATTTTCTAAAAAAGTTCTAAAGCCAGAATCAGATGAAATCTATGCCTAAGTCTCCAGACACTGATCCCGTGCAAAATTCAGGGCCTCTGGAAAGCACTCTATGACCATTTTAATTCCAAAACTAAGTTCAGAGGAAAGCTGCCCATATTATCGATTTGGAAATCATTAGCCAATAAATCATTCATTTAGTTAAATAAATAATGATCAATTTTCTTCAGCTAGTCTTCATAAAAACCTCCTCATCGACTTTATTAAAAAATTCTAAGAAGTCCAAAGTTTAATTTGTTTTATAACCTACTTCTGAACTAAAGTCAGGAATCACATTTTTACGATTTTTAATTTGAGTCATTTAATCTATATAACTCTTCAATTCTGCTGCGTTTCTGACATACTTGATACTATAAAATAGTCAAAGATAGGTGTTTCAGATATATTAGCATTATCAATACCAAATGTGGTGTTTATGAAAATGCTTCATAAATTATAAACTCAAATGTAAATTAAAGAGATGATCATTATTAAAATTTTCTCTATATATTTTTTTTAAAATCCATTCTTAATATATATAGAGATGCTCTAAAATGTTTTTCCCACTCAATTCAACAATATTTAAAAAAATTTTTTTAAATTTTATTAGTTTCAAGGATACAGTATACTGGTTAGACATTTATATAGTTTATGAAACGATCCCCGATTGCTCTTTCTTCCCTCTGGCTCTCCACACAGCTATTGCATTACTGCCGACTGCATTCCCCGTGCCGTGCTCCCCATCCCCGTGACCATCCATCAACTACTCATCTGTACTTCTTTAACCCGTCACTCCTTTCTCCCAGCCCCCCAAACCCCCTCCCCTCTGGCCGTCAGCAGATTATCCTCTATATTTGTGAGTCTGTTTTTAATTATTTTGTTCTTTCTTGTTCCTTAGATTCTGCATATAAGTGAAATAGTTTAATGGACATGGATTCTGTCCCTTGGTGGAATATTAACATCTGAATGTCAGAAAAAATAACATGAAGAAACACTGGAGCAGAAAGAAAATGCTTGCTGTCTGCTAAAATCTCAGAGACACTCTGAGACTAACACACGTGTCCCTGGGAACCTGGATTCAGATTCTCCAAGCGCCTACCCTTGACTCCTGTCCTACGGACTTTTACGCACACCCTGTACTCATTCTCACGCCAAGAGACACTGATTTTGCACCCACCATTTACAAAACTCTGTAACGGCCCTGTAAAAGTGTTAGGAATAGATATGGCACTCAGGGTTTGACCTTCAAGTCGAAGAGAACAGATATTGACATAAAAGATATAGAAGGCCTTCTCCAGCCTGCCAGGTGAGCAGCTCAGAAAGCAAGTGTGTCAGAATCTGAGCAAGAGACATATGATGCTTGACATATGACAGGGAGAACCTAATATCCTGAGTGAAAACTTCCAAAGGGTCTTAACCATGATTTCACCATTGAATCACCGGAGGAAGTCTAAAAAATATTTGGTGCATGGGCCCCACTCCCGACTTTCTGAAATAAAGGGTCTCCAGTGGATCCCAGGCTTCAGTATTTCTTTAAAATTCCCTAAATGATTCTAATGTGAAACTAGGATGGAGAACGACAGAAGCAGGCCTTGAAAACAAGGGAAAACCATAACTGGAGAGACTGAAGCACAGGATGATAGCAAGGAGGTTCACGCAGGCGAGGACTCGTCTAGAGGGACCTGAGCATCATCGGTCCCGTGGCAGAGCGTACAAGCCGCTGTGCCCACTCTATAGATAAGGAAGGTGCGAACAGAAAACCTAAGTAACCTTCCTTCACGTGACGCCCCTATAGCTCTCGGTAGAGGGTTCGTTTAAGGTGTTTCAATTGCTACAAAAGGCCTTGCACCATTTCCCGGCCTATTCTCGCCCCATTTCATCTCCGCCTGCCCACATGTACTCTTTTCTCCAAGAATTAGAATAACTTACAAATCCCAGAAAAATGTCTATGGATTTGAGAAAAAAAAAAAAAAACGAAAACAATTAAAGACAAATTTTAAAAAAGAAAAGCAAGAAGTAATAAAAAATATTAAAAAGGGAAACAGCAACGCGGCTATACTCTTCACATATATTTAGTATCATTTGTAAGATGTGCCATGAATTTAATAATAGCTTTTTGAAAGGGAAAAAACATAAATGTACTCATCAACTGTGAGATGTACTCTTCTTTTAGAAATGATTTAGAGGCAGAAAAACACGCATCTTGGAACTGAAGGAAAATGGCGCACTTAGTAAAAGCCTCCGGTATTCAAGGGACCCACACGGTGAAGAGGGAAGTGGTATTCGCTTCTCCTCTTCCTAGCTATATATATTAATTACAAGATAGGATTATCTAAAAATAAGTTATAGTATCAGACTTCTGGGGAAATGACAGTTCTAGTCCCCATATACATTTTCCCAAATTTTATTCCACACAGTAATGTGCTCACTGATAAAGCAGCATCGTCCAGGTCGACCGGCAGATAGAGGTGGCCGGGAGTCCGTACGTGGAGGTCGTGGGTAGGACTGCCCTGCAAACTGCCTGTCTCTCCCCACGCCCTCTCCTCCTTACTGATGCCTGGAATCTAGACAAGACAGCTGGAACTCCAGCAGCCATTAAACCATGAGGTGTTCCCTGAGGACGGCAGAGCAGAGAGCGAATGAAAGAGAACAGTCAAGGAAATCACCCTGGAATCTTAAAAAGAAGGAGGCTAAGGAGAAAAAAGTACAGATGGAAAGGTGTTTTGGGTAAACTTACATACATTTAATTATTTTCAAAAAAACTCTACATGGAAAGATATGACACCATGAAGAAAATTCTTAACATGAAATATATACATCTACTTTCTATGAAGCAAATACTTGAGTTATTAACATATAAAAGCAGAAAGAAATATTTATTGAGCACTTTACACCATTCACTATAAGAACCACTTCATATAACTGGTAACTTAAAGACAGGGATTACATCATATGTATCCTTTTAAATCCTCCATATTAAGTATCTGGAAAACAGAAGAGACTCAATAAATGCTATAAATAAATGAATAAATGAATAATTGTGTCAAGTTAAGCTATTGAAAATTACTGAAAAATGTATTATTGTTTTTCCTAACTCTCATTCCTTCGATTTTACTTACTGTTCTCCTAATATGAGTTACACACTGTCAAGGAACTAGAACCTTCTTTCATACCTTCTGTTGTTGGAAATACTTCTTCTCCTTCACTTTTAGTTTCTGCCAGTTTTCCAGTTCTCAGCAATACTTCTGCAAAACTTTCTCCTGGGACATGCTGATACGTGTCATAGGTTACTTCAGACTAGACAAAAGAGGCAGTTGTATCATTTAGGTATACTTTTTTCTATGAAGATATTCTTAGAAAACACAATTGTAGGATTTTATATCTTCTGGTGATCTGAATTACAACTTCTCACTAAAGTGTATATTTTATGCAAAATTTTAAACAGATTTTAAACTCATAATCCATTGTACTGTATATGAAATAAATCACATAAAACCAACGAATAACATGATTAAGACAAAACCAAAGAAGTACATTTTCAGGAAAATTTTAATTTTTGTTTATACTGAAATGCCTACAACGGCATGATAATTAAAAGTATTTTCTTAAGTTCACCATCCTTACCTCTGTGACGAAGGGGTTGGATATGACAGATTCATAAAAAGGATGACAGCCTTGTTTTTCTAGATCTTCATTGGCTATGGTTCCGATTCGATAAGCACCATCAAATTCTTGCCCCTAAACAGAACAAAGTGAAAAACAGTAGATAAAAAGAAAAGATGGCAGGGGGGAGGGGCAGGGGAGGTAGGAAGGTCAAAGGAAGGATTTCAGGAGTAACGATCAAAGTGCATTATGGGATCTAAAGAGAGTGTGTCAGAGTGACATAGCCACCCAGCAGAGAATGTAAGAATAATAACTACATTCTAGGAGCAGAACTTCAACTTCGCCCTGCAGTGCCTTTTGATTTTCCTGGTCACTGTGACACCAATGAATCAAAATGCTGAAGCGATCGGTGTTATGCACACGGCGAGTGTTCTATACTGTCAGAATAATCTTCCTAAAACATCATTTCGTACACGTTGCTCCCCTGCTCAAAACACCTTTAGTGGCGATGAACAACGCAAACAGACAACAGTATCGAGTATAAATGCTACAGAACAACCTTTAAGTTAGTAAATGCTAATTAACATTAAAAGCTACCTCTTCACTCCAACCAAACTGGTCTGCTTTATGCATCCTAGCTGTGCGACTTTCTTCCATGATGAGGGTACTGTCCACGCTCACTGCCTACTTACAGCCACTCCCCCTTCCGGGCTCCCCTCAGACCTCGCCTGCTGAGACTATCAGCTCTAACTGTGCCCCCTGCATCATGTCCACCCCCTCCACAGCCACAAGCTACACAAATGCACTTCAGACTTGTCATCAGCACGCCTTGTATCTCTACAGTATCTCTAGCATGGTTAATTATCTTTACACTGTGCTTTCTTCAAATAGAGTGTAAAGCTCCTTACTGGAAGAGCCAAGTAAAAGACATTCACGTCCTCCTTCAAAGTTTACTGAACACTTACTTTACGCCAAGCATAGCCTAGGGAAACATGAAGCTGCTGTTGCAAATGACAGTAAAAATTATAACTGATATTTAATAAAAACCATATGTTAACACTTTATCTAAGACACACACCCTCAAAAAGTCCAACAGGTGAGACAGAAAAGTAACCATAATCATAATCTAGTGTGATACATCCAATAATAAGCGAAAATCAAGCACACAGCATCTCAGTCAATGGTATCTGCATTTACCCCACTGTCCGAGCTGCCATCCTTACTTCTCCTCCTTCCTGCATACCCACATCCGGACTATCGAGCAGGTAAACACGACACATCCCCGAACCAAACACTTTCCTCTTCCTGCACGGCTCCCCGAGTCCAAACCACCATCACCTCCCACCTAGAATACTGGAACACAGAGCTGTCTTTCTGCTTCTGCTCCCATCTCGCCACTGCCAGCTCTCGACTCAGCGGTCAAATGATCTCATTAAAAGTAAAGTTGGATCCCACAGCTGCTTTGCCTAAATGCTCCAACAGCTGACCACCTCACTCAGAATAAAATCGGTGGTCCTTACCACGGTCTATGTAAGGCTTTGTATGGCGGCCTCTTTACCACCCCTGTGACCTCGTCTTCCCATTGGTCACTCTGCTCACACGACCTCGGCCTCCTTTCTGTTCAAGCACATTCTCTCAAAAAAGCGCCTTGCGTTTGCTCCGCATGGCTCGATCCGGTTCCTGCTCAGTGACTGACTTCCCTTTCCAAAGCAGAATTTCGCCCCCCAGTAGCATTCATTATTCCTAAGCTTGCTTAAGCGGTTTTCCTAGTGCTCATTACCACCTGCCATTACATTATCAGACAAATATTTTATTTGCTGGTTCTCTGTCTCCCGCTGAAACACAGATTCCACAGGGGAAAGAAATGAGACTGCAGTGCTTCTCCAGTCCCGGTGACTAGCACAGGATCTGACACACCGGAAATGCCTGGTGCGTATTCGCAGAATAAGTGAATTAATTAACTAATGAAAGACCCGGTGAGTGTTTGGGGTGCAGTGACGAGTACGGGTTTGTTTTGTTTTTTCTCTTAGTTTTCCCAAGTGAGACTAAAAGAGCACAGTGTGAGAATACAGAGCAGACAGCTGGGGAAGACGGGCTAAAATGCGACAAACAGCAGACCCGACCGATCCACTGCTAGTCCTGACCTCTACTCCCAGAATGGACAGAAAGATCTTTTAAAGTGTTCTCTTTACCCAGAGCTCCTCCTAAAGCCTAAATGTTTGCTCCCCTCAAATGCACATGCCGAAATCCTATCCCCAGTGTGATGGCATTAAGAGCTGGAGCCTTTGGTAGGTAACTGGTCATCAGGCAGAGCCCTCATAAATGAGACTAGCTCCTTTCTCAAAGGGAATCAGGAGAGCCCCCTCCCCATTCCCCAACCCTGAGGTCACAGCAAGATGGCCGTCCACGAAGCAAGAAGCAGACCCTCAGCATACACTAAATCTAGCAGCAATTTGATCTTGGACTTCCCACCTCCAGAACAGGAAGACATGTTTGCTGTTTAAGCCACCCAATCTATTGTATTTTTGTTACAGCAGCTCAAAAAAACTTAAGACAGCCCTCGAGCTAGCTTCCAGCACTTTCCTTGACTACCGGCCTATAGAAATACAGCAAAAGCAACCAAGCATTGATAAAATAATTTTCCTTTTACCCCACTAAACTTGAACTGACATAAACTAAACCATACCTTAATCTATATTAGTTTCTTTTGCAAGTACTCCGTGGGAGTATACTACATTCTATAAAATAAATTACTCATTCCCTATCTGATGGGAGACCTAGATTCCTTTAGAGATGATTTTAATAACCTAGAGAAGATAAAGCTGTAACAACAGTGAAATCGACTAAAGATCAGTGCTAAAGAACTGATCTTAAAAAGGAAGATGCATTGCTTACCTGAAGGGGTCGAAGGTAAGTTAAAGACTTCTTCCACCACTGCCCATCGCTGACCGCCTGCAGCACAGCCTTGGTGGTGGTCGTGGTGTTGGAAAGAACCTTCATGGTGGTAGCGGTGGTCCAGTGGAACAGGTCAGCTGAGTTGCTACCCGAAACACTCACTTCATCCTATGTTATAGGAGAAAAGGGCATGAGCAAACTGCGCGTTGTCACAAATACTGATGAGTGAGGATGTGACTACTTAAAGAGTATCAGATGTGAACATGACTTAGAAAAATCGGTCTTTGCTGGAAATAAAAGAAATGTGATACAAAGCACTAGTGGCATATTGTGAATCTGGCATACTGTGAATCCTTCACAAAAGAATGTTTGGTAAAGACATCAGAGAGCATTGCTCTACAATCCCTTTCAGAAACATTTATAAGGTAAAAATGGGTTCTTTATTTTTTATCAATCTAATATCCTACCAATGAGATACACTCATGTTTGTTATTTGACAAGATACTTTAAAGTATTTATTATTTAGAATAAGAAGTAAATTATTCATTTGAATGCTAAATTTTACAATAACTCTGCAGAGTAGGCATTAGAATACCATTTAACAGGAAAAATAAACTGCAGATCAAATAAGATGAATGTGCTGCCCACAAGCAACTGGCCTTGGAGTATCTCCTCTCTTCCTGACCAGGTTTGGTTATCAAAATGTGTGGTCCATTTGTTCTATGCAGGGTTTTGACATTCTAGCAATAACACACACACACTCTCTCGTGCGCGCGCACACACGCTCTAATATTTATTTAAGGTCATTTATTTTTCTGCTTTAAAAAACTACTACAATCTTACCAAAAATAGTTTGAAAAATTCAAAAGATTAGGAGGAAAAAGGGCAGTATTTATTCAGTTTCACAATGCAAAGACAATACTGCCAGCGTATATTCTCACCTTCCTGCCTTTAATCCAGGCTTAGGGATCTTTCTTTAAAAATCTTTTTATTAAAGTATAAGACATATTCAAAAATGTGTACATATAAGAATACAGTTTGATCAACTTTAACACACCCATGTGACCAGCACTAAGGCTAAAAACATCACCGGAATCCCAGACACTGCTCTGGCGCTCACTTCAGCCACAACCAACGCCAAGATAAACACCACCCTGCCTTCTGGCAGCATATAGTAAATTCGCCTATTTTTATACTTTATGTGAATGGAATCATGTTCTCTTTTGTGCCTGATTTCTTTCATTCAACATAAATTCATACATATTCTTGCCAGTAGCTGAAGACTAACTCATTGTTTGTATAATGATGTTACATTGCGAATACAACAGTGTTACATTGTGTGCATACATCAGAACTTACTTATCCCTTCTATTGATGAACATCTGGGGACTCTCCAGTTTGGAGTGAATACCAATTATGCTGCACTGAACATCCAAAATTCATCTTTTAGAGATCATGTACACTCCTGGGTACATACTTAGTAGTGGAATTACTAAGACATGGAGTATGTGTATGTCCAAACTTAGTCAACAGTGCCAAACACTTCCTAAAATAGTTATACCAATTATACGAACCAGCAATTACACGAATTCTGGTTGTCCCACATCCATCATCCATGCCAACGCATAATTGCATGCCTTTTTCTTTTTAGCAATACTAGTGATTAGGTAATGGCATCTTTTTGAGGCTTTAATTTGTACCTCTCCAGTCACGAATGAAGCGGAACACCTTTTCCTGTATTTATTGGCCATGTGAGTATCCTCTTTTGTGAAATGTCTGTTCAAGCCTTTTGCCTATTCTTCTGCTGCTTGCTGGTGTCTCTTATTCATCTGTAAGAATTCTTTACATATTCTGGATGCACATCCTTTATTAGATATATATAATTGTGAATATTTGCTCTTACTCTGCAGATTTTCTTTTCATCGTCTTAATAGTGTCTTTTGATTAATATAAGTTCTTAAATTTTAGTCAATTTATCAATTTTTTTCACTTTGTGATTAGTTTTTGTATCGTATTTAAGAAATCTTTGCCAATCCAAAGTCATAAAGAAGTACTTCTCTATTTTCCTTGACACGTAATATTTTTGCTGTAAGTAAAATCCTGTTAGGACAGTGTGCTACCCCTCTCCTTTGCACTCATAGCATTATTCACATACTTTTAATGCACCTACCATAATATATTGATATTGTGACTTTTTTTGTTTGTTGGCCTTTCTTACTAGATGGTAGCTTTTCAAGGGAAAGGACTATGATTATTCATTACTATATTCTGAGAGTATGTGAAAATCCCTAATGTGTCGTTTATATCTGTAGATACGTATAAAAATGCTAGTTTTAGTGCATTACTTAAATGTTTGAAGATAGATTTTTCTAAAGCCTAATATGTTGTGCTTACAATGCTAAACATTATTCGAATAAGATTTCATGTCACATTTTCAATTCCTGTTCATCTTTAGAATCGTCTTAATTGAGAGGGTGTATCGAATGATTTGAATGTCATCAACTAATCCAAGTATAGAACTAAAAATATAAACACAGTAAGAAAAATGCCACTTCAACAGAGTGCAACTTCATTCAGAGGAAAATCAAATTTACTGAAGATATCAAAAAATGCAGGCTATGAAACAATGATTCCATTTTATAAAATGACCCTAATCTTTACTTCTGTTCCTATGGATGGGTTGACTCAAGAAAGGGAATTTAAAACAATTTCAGAAGACAAATAAAATCCACATGCTCAAAAATATACGTAACACAAAGCTTTTCTGTAAGAGATCCCCCCTAATGAGAATCACAAAAGAGAAAGTAAAATAAAGAGCTCATTTGGACCACAGAGAAGATTTAATTTGAGGACAATCTACCAAGATTATAGTGTAACCAGAGGCATTAATGAGGAAAATAGTTCTCTCTCGACTTCACGTAACGGGGAAAGAAAAAAGAGGTTAGGCAAAATTTACTCCTGAAATGATTACTGCTGGCACTTTTTATATTCATAGTTGCACACTGCTAATTAATTGAGAGTGTATAACAGCAGAAATAAATTAATCCCCAAAACCAAATCAACAACTTCCAGCATAAAATTTAACATGAAATCTCATTAGTGTCAAGTGTGTTACACAGCTCAAAGGTTAACGCACTGAGCACTAACAACATTTTTCAAATCCAACAACAGACAGTTTTTCCAAACGGGTTCACAAGAACAAGGATAGTTCCAAGTGTCAAGCTTGGCTTACAGAAATGGTTCTTGTTGACTGATTAATAAAACAAATAATGCATTTAGGAATGGCTTTCTCAGATGTCTGATAATACAAGGGATAATTTCTCAGGAAGCAGTTTATCTACCATAAACTGGGCTGGTGGTACACATCCACTAAGTAAGGATTCCAGACAGAACTCAACCCAGTAAACCACTATCCGTTCTCCTCCAACCTATCTTTAAATACTCCACCTGTACCTAACGCTTATAGCGAGTTTCATCCTGAACTCAAAATATAACAAATGCCAAATATTACGAACTCAAAATATTACAAATGGTGACATACTTTTAAAAGTACCCATCAGAAGAAGCAGTAGAAAAATACCCCATGGAGTAGTAAATCACTCTGAAGTTTGACTCTGCTTCACTTCATCTGTTAACAGGCCAGATTACAGTTTAGATGTTCTCGCCTTTGAGAGTTATGGGCCCCTGTATATTTCTGATGAAAGCTCTAAGTCCTTTCCCCAGAAAACTGAATGCACAGACATGTGCACAAACGTGAACACATACAGTCACAAACACCCACATCAAATCCGTCACATTACTTCAGGCGCTTTAAGACCAAATTCCTCTTGAGTCACCTAGCATTCCTGGACCCCAATTAAAGACCTCTAGTTAGGAAAAATAGAGGTATGTGAAGTACATTTTTATTTCCTTTTTCCAAGCCCAATTTTTAATCGCTTTTGGTAAATAATCTTGGCTTCTAAATATATCCACAAAATAAGTTGACTGAACACATATTTCTGGTCTGCGCACCATTTTTAAGGTCCAGTGCTAGGCAACAATTAAAACATGGTCCCCGCTCTCAAAGAATTCACTGTGTGTTAGGAAAGAGGGAACTGATCAAATCGGATTCATTAAAATACTCCTCCCCATGTCATAACAATCTGCCCCACCCATCATATCCACATTTTACTTTCCTCATTTGTTTCACTCAATTCATTCTTCAGCAAATATTTGTGACATCAAACAGTGACAGACAACTGTTGTAGATGTTTGAAAATCCAGCAGTGAACAAAACACGGTTCCTGTCGCAAAGAACATACATTCTATGAGGAGATGAGCAGAAAATAGAAGTAGAGCATGCCAGAGACGTGTATCGGATAAATGCTAAGAGCCAGGGAGGAAACACTAAGTGGTAGATGGGCGGAGGAACACTATGATTGTGGACACAGAGACCGAGCAAGCTGTCGACGAGTGTTTGAGCAGAGACCTGGGAGAAGCGAGAGGACACATCATCTGACAGCTGGGAGAAGAATATTCCAGGTAGAACACAGAGCAGCAAGAAGCCCGAGATGACCAGAGTCCCCTGAGCCAAGTGAGTGTGAGCGGGGGCTTTGGGGCAGGGGAGAGACAAAGTCGGACGGACGGTAGGGAAGACAGATCACGTGTGTCCTGTGGGATGAGTGTGAGCGGGGGCTTTGGGGCAGACAAAGTCAGACAGACGGTAGGGAAGACAGATCACGTGTGTCCTGTGGGGACTGTAAAACCCTAGAGTTTCCTCTGAGGAATGCGATGCTCTGGTGTATTTTTAAAGACTCGCTTTGGCGGCCGTGTCGAGCACAGACTACTGCAGGGGAAGGACGGAGCGGGGAGACAAACAGAACGTACCATAAAGCTCTAGGTGAGCTGTGCTCACGGTTAGACCAGGGCGGGAGCAGTGGCAGAGGCAAAATGTGGTCCCATTCCAAGTCCACCAGAAAGTGAAGCCAACAGGATTTCTTGATCGAGTTCTGTGTTATGTGGGAGAAAGAGAGGAATCGAGGATGACAACAGGTTTCTGACCGAAACAGCTGGAAGCTGGAGCTGCCATTTCCTGACAGAGGAAAAAACCACAGAAAGAACACTATTTTGCGGGGGAGAGGGGAGTGGGGGGAGATTGAAATTAGTGGTTCAATTTTAACATAACGACT